GGCAAAAATATTTGAAATCAAGTGATAGCGATTGCTGTATGAGTCGTACGATTTTTGAATCAAGCACGGGCAACGCCGGGCCATGCTGCTAGTACTTAAATAAACAGCTAAATAAAGTGTCTGGATCATAAAAGAAAGTATCACCATAAACTTTTATTTGCTAACAAATGAATGCATATCTGTTTCTGGAGACACATCAGAAGTAGACATGAGTTTTGATAAAAAGGCTAGTATCTCCCAGTATGAAAGCGTAAGGCTTCATTAAGCTGGACAAAAGGATAGGATAGTAATTATGATACTAGGAAGTTCTGCCGTAGATTCCATACTCACCAGACGATAGGAATGTCGATTCATTCGATCAAAGGTACATGATTTAATGGCAGGATATGCCGTTTTAAAGAAGAAGTAAATTGTCGCAGTTTTGTTTTAGTTATAAACCCTGGCATTTAACTAACACATAATGGAGGAAAATTAATTTACCTACGGAACAGCTCAAGATGCAAGCTACAAATTAGAGATGTCAAAATCAAGCAATTGCAAAAATTTAAGTATCAGGGAAATATAGTAACAAAAAGGAAAAAAATATAACGAAATTCAAATTGGAATAGCGAAAGTTGCTTTTCAGAAGCTAAGCAAAGTATTAAGAAACATGAAAATGTCATTAGATACAAAGAAAAGAGTTCTGAAATGCTATGTAATATCAATCTTCCTATATAGCAGTGAAGGGTGGACAATTTTCTCACTGACAAAGAGGAGAGTTGAGGCAACAGAGATGTGGTTCCACGGAAGGATACTGAGAATATTATGAATAGTGCATATGAATATTGAGGATGTTTTAAAGAAAATGAAAAAAAAAATACTTATATCAAATAAAAATAGTTGAAATTTATGTGACACATAACGAAGAAAGAAAGCTTGGAAAATATGATACTCACAGGAAATCATAATGAAGTCTCGAGGTACAGAAGGAAACATTGACTAACCTTCATCACGACATTCAGGGATGGGAAGGGATAGTAAGATGATAAATATTTTTAAGACTTTAGTAAGAACAGGAAGTCGGTGAGAGTCATGAACGTCTACGTTTTGAAGGGACACGGGAGATAGGAGAAAACTTGCTAATGGCAGTGATTGTGTCACCGATTGATAAAATTTAATATGCATATTTTTTAAATCTCTTTCAGGAAAATAGTTTGCTTCAGAAAATGAATTCAGCAAACCAAATCAGCAAATAATGAATTAAGATAAGGATTTTTTTTTGTTTTGTTTTTTTTTCAAATCATTGACGTAACAATAAAAAAAGAACAGACTTTTGCTTTATACGACTGAAAGATTCGTTTTAAAATCAATGTGGGGTTATTATAAACGCCTAGCGTGAGTTCAGTTTCTCTCTTGCCGCTCTTTTGTTTTTCTCGTCGATAACGAAGGGACATTTGTCTGCATTTGCCAAAAAAAGTAAATAAATAAATAAAAGCGCGAAACAGAACAATAAGAACAGATATCCATAGCAACGGGAAACAGAAATTCTCGTAGGACAAGGAAAATTCGCGGTAACTTTCAAGTAACAGTTTGCAAAATCGTATCAAGACACCTGCGGTATTTGCGAGATATGAGCTCACTTGTTTCAATTTTAACAGCAAAGAAAAATGCATCAGATTAACATAAACTACAAGGCCTCTTCAAACAATACCACCTGTAAAGTGAACAGTCGCCCAAGGCTGAAATAGATAAATAAAAAGATCTTCCATGCATATAACGGAAAGAAGTTATTCCATATATGTAACTTTTCTGTGCGTAACAAAATAGCATTATCCGCAAAAAAAAGAAGATATATGTAAAATCTAACTTTTTAGATACTTTGAAAACACATTTGTTAAAATTGTCTATAGAATAACTTCTTAAAAATTTTTGGATCTCCAAGTTTTAATCACTTACATGAAAACACAAGCGTAATGGAAAGAGTAAACTGCTTATATGTGTACCGTTGTCGGTGTTTGCCAAATAGACACTTCTGCAGGTGTAATTAGTTGGCATTAGGAGGGTATAGCGTTAACCGATTTCATTACATGAGACAACGTATATCTGGTTCTACAGAAGGATGCTGAAGATTCCATAGATTATTTTAAGGGTAATCAAAAAGGACGCTCATACTGAAGATAAGAAAGAGAGAGTTGGAATCTTTAGGACATATAATGAGGACAGAGGGCTTGGGGAATTTGATATTCACAGGGTATATTGAAAGAAAGGATATGCAGTGATTAGCTTACCTAACGAGATTGTGTTGTGAATGTCAGAAGAGGATTTAGGAAGGATATAGCGAAAATACAAAAGGTGACAAAGTTGTGGAGAGCCATAATCTCCCACGTCATGAAATACACGGTACAGGGAAGAAGACTTGATCTTTTTGAATTAATTGTGACAGGTGGCATATCAGCGTTTATTCTTCGTTGGTTGATTTTGTTTAGCGGCATATTAACGTTTATAGGTTATTTAATGCCGAAATCTAAATATTTTAAACGCCATTATATGCCTTCAACTACCTATAAATTATATGGTTGATCAATTTGCTATAAAAATGCATTCTTGATAATTGTATTTATAAATAGATATTGTTGGTAATTATTTTTATATAAAAATATATTGTTGGTATTTTTATTAGAAAATGTATTTTTATACTATCATAATGATTTGTTTTTGTTTTGGAGTTCACTATCTTTCTCAAAGCTGTGACCTAACAGGAACTACTATCCTGAATCTGTTTAAACCTGGGAACAACAGCAATTAAAAGGTGATTCTACGCTCCTCAAAACCTGCAATCTACCATTCAGAGGCCTTGCTGCTGTATGTAGTTTATCGTCATACCCAGGACTCGCTTTTATTCTATTCAGTTTTCAAAAATCGCTTGTTTTAGTTCATTGTTATTAAATTTAAATTTGAAGGTAAAAAATAAAAACTATACATTTCTAGCATATTTTTTTATAATTTTTATTATAACTGGATGTTTTATAATCGTCTAAATAGGCCTTAATTTCGTTCAGTGGCGTAGCTAAGGGGGGTGAATGGGGGGGACCTCCCCGGCTGCCAGCACTGGAGGTGTGACATAATGTCACCCCCAACAAAATTTTTCAACCAGGCTAAGGTGCCAAAAATAGTCTGAAAACTGGTGGAGACAAAGGGTTTCGCAGGCAGGCATATAACTCCCCAGAAATAATTTATGACCCCCCCCCCCAGTTTTTTCCCACCGTCAGAAATTTTCTACTGAATTGTCGGGAAATTTGTGAGTAGGAAAAATAGCAATGTTTTCAGCTTTTGATTTGAACTGATTATTTTGTGGCATTGGATTTTGTCTTGGATCATACATGTAAACAGTAACGTACCGGTCAGTAGAGTAAAGTAGAGGTAGAGTATGTATGAAAATTTAGCTACAGCTAACCATTCAGCATAGGGTGAATCGGGGTCATTGGGGTGACATTTGAGTGGACCGCCCCGGGTGACGTTTACTCTAGCTACGCCACTGATTTCGTTCACACAAGGAATCGCTAAGAATTGCAAGGAAGAGCTAAGATTAGACTGTCATTGGCGAGAAGCAAAGATATTCTGAAAAGTATGCATCATCCTTTTCAACGTAAGTATACAGATGACACAGTGCTGATGGCAGACACGGAAAGAAAACTACAAAACCCTTTACACCAGGTAGTGAAGGAAAGCAAGAAGAAAGGATTAAACATCAATTATAAAAAAGACAGAATGCATGGTTATCAGAAAAAGGTTGATCCCAAAATGCAAATTACAGATCGGAGATACTAAAATCAAGTTCAACAATTTAAATATCTGGGAAATAGTGCGGCATTGAGATTTGAAAACGAGGGCCAAAGTGCATTCTAAAAGCTAAGGGTATAAAGAGACAGAAACATTTCGTTGGAAACAAACAAAAAAAGAAAAAAAAAGGAAAAAAAGGGAACTGAATTATTACATGATATCTATCCTCCTATATAGAAGCGAATGCTGGACAATCTCTTCAAAGATGAAGAAGAGACTTGAAGCAACACAAATGTGGTTCTACAGAAAGATGCTGAGGATACCCTGGGCCGAACATGCGAGCAACGACGAGTTTTTGGAGAGAACGGAAACAAAAAGGAACTTATACTTAACATCAGGAAGAGGCAGTTGAAATCGCTGGGACACATAATGAGGAAGGCGGGTTTGGAAAATCTGACACTCACGGGACAGATTGAGGGACAGCGGAAAACAGCGCGTAACATACTTGATGAGTAAATGGATGGGAGATCAGGGTTTGGGAGAAATAACAGAAAGACAAAATATTAAGAGCTACAAAAGACAGGAAGATGAGGAGGGCCATAATTGTATACTCCCTTGAGGGACACGCCACATAAAAGGAGGAGATTTTAATACTAAGTAGTTGAACCTAACAAGGTAATTAGTCTTTTGACAAGAAAAATAGGAAAAAAAAACTCAAGGCTGCATAACGGTTTGGGCAATTTATGAAGAAGGCACAGTGTAACCCGGATATAAGAGAGTTGTCGGGACCGGAGAAGAAGTCTCTTATATCCGGGTTTCTCTTATATCCGGGTTTGGTCTATTTTATATACATTAACACAGGCTCGAATTTGGGACCGGAAAAAATCTCTTATATCCGGGTTTCTCTTATATCCGGGTTTCTCTTATATCCGGGTCTCTTATATCCTGGTTACACTGCACTAGGAAAGATTGAATGTGTAAAAAGTGTAATAATTGCCCTCCACAACTTCCTCATTCTACCACTCTTAATTTTTCACATTTTACTTTCACTGAACCTCTGCAGAGAGGTAGGACCCCCAATGAGGCGTCCTGGGTATGACAATAAACTACATCCGGCAGCAAGGTTTCTGATCAACAAGTTTTGAGGAATATAGAACCAACCGTTAATTGTTGGTGTTACCAGGTCCACCCTGACCTGGAGTGGTAGAACGTGTTAGGGTTCCAGCTATGTCCTAACTCAGTTCCTCTTGTCCTCACTCTGTCCCTCTTTGTCCTTACTCCGTTCCTCTTGTCCTCAGTCTGTCCCTCTTGTCCTTACTCTGTCCCTCTTGTCCTCAGTCTGTCCCTCTTGTCCTAACTCTGTTCCTCTTGTCCTCAGTCTGTCCCTCTTGTCCTAACTCTGTCCCTCTTGTCCTTGCTCTGTTCCTCTTGTCTTCACTCTGTCCCTCTTTGTCCTTACTCTGTCCCTCTTGTCCTTACTCTGTCAATCTTGTCCTCACTCTGTCCCTCTTGTCCTCACTCTGTCCCTCTTTGTCCTTACTCTGTCCCTCTTTGTCCTTACTCTGTCCCTCTTGTTCTCACTCTGTCCTGCGAATATTAGATTTTCCAAGACCTCGCTTTATAAATTCCAACTGTTTCTTCCTGATGTTAAATATAAGTGTCCTTTTTGTTTTCATTTTTTCGAAAAATTCGTCATTGCTCAGATAATCGATCCATCGTATTCTCAACATCCTTCTGCAGAGAAAAATTTCTGTTGCTTCAAGTCTCGTCTTTATGTGTTAGAAAAATTTCCAGTATTCACTTCAATCTAGGAGGAGTGACATTCAGTTTTCTTTTTTTTTTCTAACGAATTTTTTCTGTTTCTTAATACTTTGCTTGGGTTTTGGAAGGCATCTTTTGCTATTCCAATGCGCCTTCGGATTTCTTTCTTACTTTCCGTCCTCTGTTAAAACAATTCCAAGATATTTAAATCTTTGTTCTTGTTTGATTTTGACATCACCAATTTATAATTTGAATGTGGGACTGTTCCTTTTACTAACAACCATGCATTGCATCTTCTTACAATTTAGGTTTAGTCTTTTTCTTTGCGCTTTCCTTTTTTGGGAGTCTCCCTTCCGTGTCTGCTATCAACACTGTGTCATCAGTATATCTTATGTTGTTTAAATTGTGGACGTCAATAATGAATTCTGATAGACCTTCTAATTCTCCCAGAATGGCCTCATAGTATACGTTGAAAATGTCCGGTGAGAAGACACACCCTTGCCTTACACCGCTTTCTATTTTCGTACATTTAATAACTTCATTTTCTATCCGTATACAGACGGTATTCTGCCAGTTCTGGATTATTCTTCAAGTACAAAATATAATAAATGTTCGAAGAAAATGATAAAGACAATGAACAGATATACATTGATTTAGTTTGATTTCAAACCAAGTAACAAATAAATTAAAAGAGAGGTCGGAAATGGACCGGAGTGGTAATCACGCGAGCGGCTTTATCTGTCGTGTTTTCTCTTCTATTCATTTATCATTCATTAAATCTGGGGAACAAGTCGGGCCTAAAATGTCGTTACATCGGTGCACGCAAATATAAGGATCATACATCACAATTTTCGCCCAAACTGATTAAACATGTTTCCGAAGGTGAGTACAAGATGAATTATCAAGGAATTCATGAATGATGTATTTTTGCCGGGCAATAACGAAATTGCCTATGCTTTACAAAGCAATGCCTACACGTCTTGGTTTCAAAAACGGCTCCTTTCGTAGAGCCCGCTTTTTCGGACGAATCATTATTTTGTACGTCATTTGATTTTCTGTCTCAAACGCTGTGAGTTGTTTGTCTCGGTACACGAACGACACCATCGAAACGTTTGATTTCTAACATAAATCTGTAATAGTAAAATGATTACATTCTTTGAGTATCGACCTAAAGAGTAAAGACGAAATACCATTTCAGATGTTAGAATGAAAATACAAATTTGAAAGAGATTAAAAAATTAACTAATTGTAGAGTCCCAACATATTTCGAAATGTGTCCGATATATATATATATATATATATATATATATATATATATATTTTCGAAATGTGTCCTATATATATATATATATATATATATATATATATATATATATATATATATATATATATATCAAATGTGTCCCATATATATATATATATATATATGTGAAAATATATTGAAAATAGGAAGGAACTGGTTAGGTAAATAATCCAAAGTCCCTTAGTATTTTAGTTATTATTTTTTAAAAAATAGTGCTCGATACAAAAGTAGAGCATAAATATAATTATTTATTTAAAATATGATTCCAAATCGCTACATAAGAGGTCTCATGTTTCAAAACTAGGCCAAAAAAACTTCAATATAATCCTTTTTCCAATTAAATTGAGTTGAAAGTGGAATGGGCCCGTTCCATCCTCAACTCAATTTTTTTTTGATTATATTGAAGTTTTTTTTTAGTTTTGAAACATGAGACCTCTTATGTAACGATTTGGAATCATATTTTTAAATAAATAATTATATATATATATATATATATATATATATATATATATATATATATATATATATGTATGTGTGTGTGTGTGTGTGTGTGTGTGTGTGTGTGTGTGTGTGTGTTTTGAACAATAAAAATATTGAAAAAATAAAAAAATTAAATTTTCAAACACGCTCGGTTGTCTATTAATATTTTTTGTTTTATTATTTCAGTTAGGATCCTTGAATAGTTTCGGCCTGAACGGCAATCATCAGGATAAAAAATAATTGTTAATAGCACTGAACTACAGGAATGAATGACTTTCTGAAGAAAATGAACTTTATCTGTACTTTTTATTTGTTTATATATATATATATATATATATATATATATATATATATATATATATATATATATTTAATTTAAAAATTATAATATGTTTATGTCATAAAATTACTACAAAAATAACCATTTTGTTTCCACATCATCACTTGAGAAAACACCAGATCTGTTGAAACAAAATGGCTATTTTTGTAATGATTTTATAACATAAACATGTAATAATATTTGGTCTACTCTGTATTAAGCACTCTTTTAAGAATAGTGTTTTTGATTATTGGAATTTTATTCCGTCCATAACAATCCTTTACTTGGATATATATATATATATATATATATATATATATATATATATATAAAGTCGACGTCGGACGTTTCGGTCTATTTAAGACCATCTTCATGGACATTTTCATTTAAACATAATTAACCTGAATTTACTTTATAACATGGAAGACTTCAAGCTTGGACGAGAATATAAGAATCTATTGATCAAGTAAGGAAAGGATTTGTTATCGAACTGTTTTTTAGAACTGTTCTATCGTTTTTGAAATCATTTTTGATTTGCTTTGTAACGTGAAGGACTTCAAGCTTGTATGAAGATATAAGAACCTATTGATCTCTACGTATTCCTATATCAACGGAAGTGATTTCTTGAACTGTTTATATAAAATAGTTCAATCGACTTTTTTAATATTTTAATATTTGGAAATCATCGTCGAATACGTTTTCACAACATCGCTCACGTGACGACGACGTGATCATATTTAAACGGAACGCTGATCTTATATAAAAATTTCAGTTATCTGTTTGGATTAGTTGTGCTCTTATGTCCATCGTCTTTTGTGTTAAATTTTTATATGATCTAATGTTAATTATGTTTAAATGAAAACGTCCATGAAGATGGTCTTAAATAGACCGAAACGTCCGACGTCGACTTTATATTAACATTAATACAGCATATATATATATGTGTGTGTGTGTGTGTGTGTGTGTGTGTGTGTGTTTATCTATGTGTCGATGTATGAAAGTGGGCATTGAAGTCAACACCCAGAGACGACAGTCTGTTTCCCAAAGTTCATTTTGAAAGAAATAGGGTCCAAGCTTTCGATTTTCTTAAGTCATCATAAGGGCAGGTAGAAACAATAGGCTGAGTTTTAGAGAATTGCTCGAATGTAGTGACGTAGGCAAAGTGCGTTGTGACGTAGGCAGGGGTGTGATGTGTGTATTTGGGTGTTCATTTTTATTTGGTTTTATATAAGTTTGAAAATGTGAACTGATGACTTATTATTTTTATTTATTGATGTTTGTTTTACCTATACGAGTATTGCTTCGAGGATCATACGTTTGTTTTTACAGTTTGATTTTGCTAGTATTTTGATATTGTTCGTGAGTAGCTGTTTAATGTTGCTATAGTCCTTATACTGCTTATTAATATTTTGTCTGATGGTACTCTGGTCTGACAGAGAGTAGATTTCTCCCTGTGAGGGTGTGATGGGGTACATACTATGTAAGACGTTTTGCGTTTTTTTTATATGCATAGAAACATTCCTTGAGTAGGCAAGTATATTCATATACAGCATTGGTTCTGTATAAGAGGTTTGATGTTTGGAATATATTATTGGTAATTACTAATTCAGATGGCATCACAAACGGCGAAACGCTGCTAAGGAAAACAAGGGATAGGTTGTTGTGGTGAGCCAATGACCACTCATGTACCGAATGGACACTGCACATGGAATAAAATAATTTTCTACGATTCGAACAATTTTCTTTTAATTTATGGGGGGGGGGACTGAGACAATGTTGCTTGTACCTCCTCAACAACTTCGGCTTTCATAAGAGATTATCAAGAAAATATTATGGGTTGATAGGAGTTTATCTACCGTTATAAATATATCAGTCTCTTTTTCTCACCATTTATCTCTCTCATTTTCTCTTGTGAGAGAAATTTGTTAGAGAACGCATATTTTCTACGACATTTCTAGAACATTCAGGTCGGTAAATGTAATTTATACTGTTTAATAAAAAAGAGATCATTTACTTAAATAAATTGAATCTATTAAAATAACGAATAAACAGAAAATATATTAAATAATTGTCGGACTTAATCCATTCGATGATATGTAGTAATTGTTTACGTTCAGTTATATTTCGTGAGCAGATATGATCAAATAAGAAAAATCGAAGATTTGTTTTTTAAAAACATTAATTTAGATTTTGCTAACAAGACGCTACACTATAGCTAATAGGTGTGACACGTCAGATCAAATGACGGTTCCGTATCGAACAAAACTTCAATACCTGTTGGAGAACGCACATTTCCTACGAAATTTCGCGAACATTCAGGCCGGTAAGAGCGTTTACTTAAATAAATTGTATCTATTAAAATAAAGTATAAACAGAATATATATATATATATATATATATATATATATATATATATATATATATATATATATATATATATATATATATATGTGTGTGTGTGTGTGTGTGTGAGAGAGAGAGTTTTTGTGTGTGTGTGTGTGTGTGTGTGAGAGAGAGAGAGAGAGTCTTTGTGTGTGTGTGTCTGGGTTTGGCGATAGAACAAAACAATAGATATTATACAAATCATCGAAATACGTGAGATGACTATTGAATAAACTGTACTTGCAGCATTGTATCATATTAAGATTGATATAGAATACAGACATACATACAAAAACACACAAAATTGT